CCAACATTAAAACCGTTATTTTAACACCTTGGCACGTGTTTCGATCACCAAGTGATCGATGAGGATCATCTTCAAAAGAAAGATTAATCTTCCTCTTCGATCACTTGGTGATCGAAACACGTGTCGAGGTGTTGAAATAACGGTTCTCTAGTAATATTCACTACTACACCAAAGGTTCCAAACAGTACATCACAAATGTCAAGGTTTTGCTCACTGTTTTCCTTGATTACCGTAGCGTAGTGCACCACTAGTTTTGCGACATGGTCGTACGGTCAATAAGGAGTAGGGGAAAGATGGATATAGTTGCTCAGGCCACTTGGACATATGGAAATAATTCATTGGTTGACGCCATATTGCCTCCGTAAACACCGTCCTGGTCAGTGCTCGTCTTCAGATTTTATGGTGAAATAATTGTGTTTGGTGGTATCTGATCTAAGGTGGTGATTTGAACATAGTTAAAAAGTAATGTCATCAGGTTCATAGAAAGACAATGCACGATTTTATCGACTTAGTGGATTAATAGAGCAATTCATTTCGCTGCAAAATAGATCAATATAACCTCATTCGTAATTTTTGTATTTTTTTTTTCACCGTATGCTAAATCGGGTAAAATGGCCCACCAATAGGTAAGGTAAAGTGACCTGGTGGGCCACTTTACCTCCTTAGTGCTTATTTTTTCCCCACACAAATAATGTTTTGTGTTATTTCAGGTATGCCAAATAAATACACACGGACGTCACAGCAGCAGGAATGCAGTTCAGAGGTAGTGGATAAAGCTATAGGTACCTACAAGCTGTACGAAAAGGTGAAATTGGTTTCTTGAAAGCAAGCAAAACCTTCGTTATTCCTCAAACAACGCTCAAACGGCGTGTACACGGAAGAAACAAAGACGCCGTTGAAAATATAAAAATACTGGGGTCTCTTCGTCCAATTTTTAGTCCAAAATAAGAGAAAGAATTGGCTCAACATATTTTAGAACTGAAAAACATTGAATCAGGACGTTAATATAAGTACCCAGATAACGCCAGATGCAGTTACTCCACCAACATTTGACCCACAACCCAAAATATTCTTCGCAATATCGCCTTGCAACATATTTCCGATTCCCAAAGCATTGTCTAAGACCAGACATGTAAATAGAAAGAGAGGGCGTACGGTAATTTTAAACAGCAGCCCATATGAAAATGAGTTGCAAGAAGAAAAAATACAGCAAGAACAAAAGACTGTTTATGATAAGTAAATGTAAGTACCTATATTTGGATTGAGGAAAATAAAAGATTGCTGTATATTAATATGTAGAAATACATGCACTCACATTTTTACACAAAGTAGAAAGCTTGCTGTCAGAACTGCCCATCTCCTCTCATATCATAATGGCAGGAGATCTTAATATTAATTTCAATAAAACTCATCCCCATCAACAAATTCTCCAGGATCTACTAGATTCATTCAACCTAAAGATGCACGTCGATACTCATACACGAATAATTAAGCATAGCGCTACAACTATTGATTACTTTTGCTCCAACTTAGATAGGATCAACTGCTCAGTAATATCAACAGGTCTCTCAGATCATGAAGCCATAGTCAGCATAGTGTCTTTTGATACTCCTCCTGTAGAACATAAAAAGGTAAAATTACGAAGACTCTATAGCAAAAAAAATATAATGTATTTCAACAGCTTTGTAATAAAACTGATTGGGCAATTAAATTACGTAATAACGATGCATTCTTGGAATTTTATGAAAAACTCCGCACCAACTTTGAAAAAGCATTCCCTATTCAAAACATTAAACGCAAAAATAAATTAAAGACTTTGATAACCGAAGGCATCAAAATAGCGGGAAAAAATATGAGATCCTTGCACTTGATTCATAAATTTACTGAAGAACCATTCTTCCACAAGTATTACTTGGCATACCGTGAAATATACCGAAATGTCATCAAAGCAGCAAAAACAAATCATTATACTAGTAGGATGGACAGTGCAAATAATATGAATAAAGAATACTGGAAAGTGATGAATGAATTGAGGGGTAAATACAAAAAGTATCAAGAAATTTCAATAGACGCCAATGACCTAAATACTTATTATTGCAACATAGCACGTGAGATAATTAACTCAATTTCGGTACCTCACTCTGCTTTAGATTACATGAATGGAACCTGCATAACAGAAGAGTTTTACTTGGACGACACCAATCTTTCCGAACTGAAAAAAATTCTCAACAATACTCAACTCAAAAACTCCTCGGGAATTGATGATATCTCAATGAGAGTAATACAGAATTTCCTAGATTCAGCCTTAGATGAATAAAAATGCAGTTATTATTCCTCTACATAAAGGCGGAAATAAAAACGACCCTTCAAACTATAGACCAATATCGCTCATAAACAGTTTAGCGAAGTTAATAGAAAAACTAGTGAAATATCGACTTCAAAACTTTTTACTATCAAAAAATATAATAACAGAAGAACAATTCGGATTCCAACCAAATAAGGGAACCAACGATGCCCTCTTCTCATTCTTATCGAACATGTATGATAACATAAATAAAGGTGAGTGTGCCGCTGCAGTATTTTGCGATTTCTCGAAGGCGTTTGATTGTGTGAACCACGGTATTCTGCTGCAAAAACTCGAATTCTATGGAGTCAGAAATGGGAGTTTGAAATGGCTAAAAGCTTATTTAGAACAGCGCAAACAAATCGTTCGACATGGTACGGAGTCTGAAGTAGGACACATACAATATGGCGTCCCTCAGGGCTCGGTTATTGGCCCATTACTTTTCTTACTGTATATTAACGACATCACTAAATTGAACATCTCAGCAAAAATTACCCTCTTTGCGGATGACACCACTGTACTGTGGCACAGTAAAACACCACAGCAACTGTTTAATAAAATAGAAAAGGATATGTGCAAAATAAAACAATGGTGTGACTCAAACTTTCTAGCTCTGAACTTAAATAAANGTTGGATAATTGCATTGTATACAGTAATTTCAGACTGAGTAGATAAATTACCAGAAATTCTTGCAAAGAAATATAGTTTTTTAGATATTTTTCAAATATACATATATATTTTTACCAAAAAGTAATAGCAGTAAGAAATTAACTAAACTAACCAAGATATTCGATACATGACACAATTTCAATGTTTTCATTATCGATTTGTAGATTTACTTCATTTATATTTTGTTGTCATAATCATTCCTTTGGTTTACATTTTATTTAGTTTCAATTAATTTGCCATGAAGTACTCATTTACATCCTTTAATGCGGCATTCATTTTATCAATAGCTTCATCTAAGTTTGTATCGTAGCATGCCAATAGTGTATCATCTGCAAATGAATTTACAAAATCAACATTCATAAACAAGGTTATGTCATTCAAGTATAAGATAGAAAACAGAGGTACTAACACGCTACCCTGCGGTACACCTATATGTATATCCAGTTACTGAGATATATTATTAGCTTCCTATGAGATGAATAGTCGGACAACCATTGGTAAACATCACCATCAATGCCATCATCTCTTAACTTTATTAGTCAACTGTTTCAAAAACCCCTTTTCAGATCAAGAAAAACAGCTACTAAAAATTAATTGTTGAAAAATTTAATTTTTTTCAACATGATCAAGTACCTCCACAAGTACCTGTTCAAGAGTTTTTTATATTGGTGGTAATGTATTTATAGGTCTATATGGGAACTCTAGTTTGAAGAATGTGTAGTTTTACAAGTTTGAAGAGAAGTATTTACAAGTATTTACAACATGTCCACATGTTTCAAAAATGATTTTGAGCATATTGGAGTTCAAGATCTCATGAACATTGTACTTTCTTTGTCTAAGGAGTTAACAATTAGACGTAATTCATTCATTGTCAATATGTGAAACTTGGAAAAATAAGGATATAGATTATAATTATTGAATTTCCAATCTTCAACATTATCTACACTATCAACAATTTGCTGAACACGTAGAACAATAATGTGTTTTTGTGTTACAAAATACGAAATACAATTATAATACTCAAGTAGAGAACAATAATTCATACTGAAATACTAATATATAGATTAGACATTTTCATAAGCGACATCAAGGATGTAGCTTCATCAGATAAGTGGACTGTAGTATAATATAGGATTGTATAAGTTGAGGAAGTTCCCAATAAAATTTTGTTTAGGACGAGAGAGATTCCGTGGCTGTGGTTCTCACTTGAGTGTATGTCGGCTCTAGTAGCGGCTTGTAGCGAGACTTCTGGTTCCTGGAGGATTATCGTAAGAACCCGTTGTATCACAAAACACCAGCTGGCCAGCAACTTTCTTAATTCATTGAATAGGTTGTCGAATCACCTGATATGCTTTCTGTAGCGAGTCTATATATCAAATCCGTTGTTCTGCTGCTGTTTCAGCGACTGACCAAATATATTGATACAAGGAGCGCTCCACATATTTAATCAGAATAGGAAACACAGCGGAATTCCGCGTTGAATAAAAATTTTGCAAATTGAGTGAAAATCATCAATAGACAAATACACAAAGAGAAAAATAAAAAATAAAATAAAAGAAAACTGGAGAAGATGGAACAAAGGGTAATTCAAAATGTTCTGACTTTCTACTTTCTGCTGATAATTTTTCGAAGACAAGTCAGTGTTAGGTAGTATTACTGATGTGGTGTTCACACAATGATATGTACTTGACCGTCAATAAATATGAATACGTGACATATTATCGAGTGCTACCACGTATAAAATATTATTATATTATAACATTATCTTGAGGTGACTTGTTCACCTTCCTGGAAAGGACAGGATGGACGATGACCTAGGAGGACAACTCCTCAGGAAGATGTACAATCGGTCACATGTGGTCTAAGTGCTGTGGGCCTACACTGACCATCCCTACTCTACAGGTACAGAACATATCTAGTGAAATCCTAACTTGTGTTGAAATCGTAACTGATTTGGGAATGGTGATGGACAAAAAATAGACTAGCATCTGCAATATGAACATATAATAATTAAGGCAACGAAAATGCTAGGGTTTGTTTGTCGTACTTCCAAGGACTTCTCAAATATAGAATGTCTGAAATATTGTATTTTCCCCACTAAGGTCAGTTCTTGATCATTGCAGTTGCATTTGGGCACACACTCATGAAAGTCCTGTATACACCATTAGAAAGCTGCAAAAGAAATTCCTTCTATTTTTAACTTTCAAGTCAACAATGCTTCCGAGGAACCATTAATCAGATGATACTCATTAAACTGCAAATATACAGAAACTCAGTGGTCCCAGATTGCAAAATCACTTGAAAGTCTTATTTTAAATATTACACTATTCTATCAGCTCAAATTGGTTCACATTTTTGTCTAGGAGTACAAGGTATACAGAAACATTTGTTGTAGACTTCTATCATTGTAACTATGAAAAACAATGTCTCCTATTTAGAGTTGCTACTAATGATGATGAATTTGATATGGATTTTTTTATCAGTCCCAGTGGAATTACAGTCTGCTTTACACTCACTCAAATAATTATAACTGATTATATTATAAGTAAAACATGACAATAAATGTGAAATCATCTATCTCATTTCCAGCACTCACTCTCTTATTCATTCTCTCATTCTCTTCTATCACGAATCATTTGTCATTTTTATTCTTAAGTTAGTTTTAGTATACACTAGTAAGTGAGTTACATTCAATTATATATAATTATTCAATTTATTGTGAAAATCTGTACTTATCTCAGCACATAAAATGAGTATTAAATTAGGTGTATCTTCAAACAACTGATCAATAAGCAGATAATCAAAATATCAAACTCACCACAATACAACTAATTGGCTGATGGAACAAACCACTTTCAGGAAGTCGGAAATCAAGAGTGGTACTTCCAACAGTCGCACTTTTGTGCTTTTCGAGGTCCAGTGTCAACACATTCCTGGAAATATGCATAGATGCACTTGATAATAATAATATAATAATAATATATGTTTATTTGTCAATTGTTCACATGCTAATTTACATCGATTATATTATATATAATATACAAATAAACACAAATAAACACCAACACAGAACATCNATATGTTTCGTACATTTGTTGTGTTAGTAGAGCTATAACTATCACCACTTTCATCGCCGTCCTTCGTTTCAGCAACATGTACATGTCGTGTATTCTTTTTCTGGTTTTGTATTCGAGCATGTCCCGTTGTTATGCAAACTTATGAGAAATGATTCAATGCTCCACATGCTGAGCACTTTTTATTTTTAGCAGGACATGAGTCTCTTCCCCTGTGGCGTAATTTTCCACATGATAAATAGTCTTTCAATGTTCAATATCAGAGTGTTATTGTATTTATCTTGTTTGTATTTATTACTTCTGTCGTTATGTTCAAGAAATTCTCGACTTGCTCGTTTAAAGTCTGAATTTACTGCATTTATATGCTTGACATCAAACTGTCCTGATAGATTCGAAAGTTTTTTTGACTGTGACGAAGCCTGTTCCAAAATAAGTGCTGTTGCTTCAATTTCTTCTAGGGTGGCTGTATTATTTGGATGTAATCTAATTAATTCCTGTTGCCAGGCCATGTTGTTGATACCAATAACTAGTTGATCTCGAAGACGTTCCTTCAAACTATCGGAAAATTCACAATTTCCTGCCAGTCCACGGAGAATGTTCATAAACTGGGTAATGGTTTCACTGTCTTTTCGATAACGGAGCGCAAATGCTACCCTTTCAGACAGAATATATTTCGTTTTACCATGATTTGTTTAGTACGTTCACGATATCGTCAAAAGATTTTGTTGTCACTTCATTTGGCTTAAAATGATCAACCAGAATTTCAAAATGTTCAGGTCCTACCTTGCTCAAAAGCAAATTACGTCGTTTCACTTTAGTAGGCTCATCGTTTGTGTCCAGACCATGAAGTTGTAATTCCATTTTGAAACGTTGTATGTAATACTCCCAGCCTTCTTTTTCCTGAGAAAATCTTTCAAACTGGAAATATCTCAAGTATTCTGTATCAGTTGACATTTTTCCCTTGACACAGTTCAAATTATCTGGTTGGTTCAGCTTGTTGGCTGCTTGTGTTGAATGTTTTCGTCGTACTGTTTGATATGTTTATCTGTCTTCTAAACTCTCACTGGTTTATCCTTGTCGCCATGAAATGTGGTATAGTTGGGTTGATGGAAATAATCACCTTTTACTGATAGTCGATGTGTTTCTTTTTATTGACATAATTGACATCACAGAACATTCGAACTGTCAGATGAAAGAACTAAAATAATAAACATGGAACATGATACTACAATAGCAGTCATCATAACTATTACCTTGTATTTGTTTTATCACTAGCTAAACTAAAATCGTCTTCTTCAGAGGAATGAAGCTCTTCGAAGCGTTCATCGTGTGCGAATGTTTTTTTTATTCTTCCTTAGAAAACGATGTGAATAATTCGTTACACAAGCCATCATGCACTCAAAATTCAAATTCAAGTTTTTATCAGCTTCATACCTACTGCTTCAGAGATGCCGATACTGATTTAATGGGGTTGAAATATAGATAATAAAGATGCAGTATTACTCTGTGTCCATGATTTTCAATAATCCCAACGATTTTTTATATTATACTTTGAAGTGTGGTTTGTAGATTTTCATTACAGAATACTATTTTGAGAAAATCATAAGTGAATAGTATATATCGTTATTCCAACCGCTCTTTCATTCCTCTTTAAGTGAAACAGCTGCACGCGCGCTTGACTTGGGGAGTTAGCGCTAGGCGCAAATTGAGCGAGTGTGAGCTGACCTGCACGAGTCGCACATGTCACGCGCGTAGTATAGATGATCCGCCTAGCTTAAGCTAGCTTAAGCAAATTGGAAGCGTGTGAGGGGACGCAGCACAGGGCGATCTTTTGTAACCCATGAAAACCAATAAAACAGGGCAAGTTGGCACCCAGACACGACTTGGCGCAACTAGCGTGACACGTGACTCGCATGTTACAGTGGTTGAGACACAGTTTCCTGCCAATTATTTCGCGTGTTGCCAAAGGCTTTGTATGCTCAGTTAGGCATGATATTCCTTCGAGTCACTGCCTCGTTGGATCATCCCATGCACTTCTGCAAATTGATTTCGATTCATTCGAAAGTAATTACTAAAATCAACATCATAGCCTTCTTTGATATCATAAATGGTCCATTTGTTTTTTCTTTCCAAAAGAACATTCTTGTTGGGTGATTTTACTTTATTATAGACGAGCAAACGATAAAGCAAAAGTTCGACTTCAGCATCATTCCTCGGATTCTGATTCCGAACTCCATCGGACATAGTGGTACGATTATCACTTCAAAACTACGTTCAATTTGCGGATCATCCACGCTACGC